CCCCCCCCACAAAATTTTAAGTTACTCCACAGAAAAGGGGGGGGGGGGGTGAGAATACTTGAAAACAGCCATATTTTTTCTGCCATATTTAAATGTAAAAGCTAAAGGCACACTAAACTTAATTTATTAATTTAATTTATTAAGCAACAGACTGAATAAATGGCTCCGCGATGATTACACAGCAACAGAAAGGGGTGGGTGGGAATCAATAATCCAAATTTCAAAAATGCAGCCAGTTCCCAGGAGGATAAATTAAATGCCAATTCAAAAGCAAAGAGTTTATAATGGCAAGAAAGAAAGCTTTAGAAAGAAAGCTTGGGGGGGGGGGAATTTAACAGCGGTAACTCATTTAGGATGAACACTCTTTTTGGCCTGGCAGGTGGTGTGTAGCCCTGCAGACTCAGGAGCGGAACCAGAACACAAGTCCAGCCCTGTGGTTCTGTGAATCCAGTGATGATTTGCTTGTGGGAAGAAATTTGCTAGGTTAACCTCTGCACACTGAACTTGGACGTCACCCAGTGTCACAGTTCTTACATAGTCATCAGGCATTGTCATCAAATATGGGGGGGAGCTTGGGGGGGAAATCCAATAGTCATGAAACATTGGTAGGGTTGCCAACCTCCAGGTGATGGCTGGAGATCTCCTGCAATCGCAACTGATCTCCATAAATTAGTTTGCTCTGGAGCCCTCCTTCCTGAGCTAAGGCAAAAATGTGTGAGCCAGAGGCTAAAGAACTGTGAGCCAGCTCACACTAACTCAGCTTAGAGGGAACCCTGCCCAGGAGCCATGCTGGTGGAAGCCTGGTCATCTGGAGCCGTGAAGATGGCGAAGATCCAAGAGGCTGCCTGGAGTCCAGTATACTCTGCTAAGTAATCTGCATGAGACAATGTTATTGTTTGGGAGAGGGGAAATTTAACCTCTCAGTGTAGTGTTTTACATTTTTTGAGGGTTTCTGCAAACCTGGGAGGCCCCCAAGTTTGCAGAACTATCTGTGTTCTTGTTATACTTGCCCTTCAACTGGGGGGGCAGGGGGGTTGCCCGCTTTAGGGGCCCCCAATCTGCCAGCCCAGATCGGGCTGGTGGGGGAACCACGCCCCCAAAGTGCCAGGATCACACCAACGTGCCTGGTGCGATTACGTCACCTGGAGGTGACGTCATCGTGCCAGGCACATCGCCAGGGGGACACTCTAGCATTCGGCCTGAAAACTCTATGGTATCATAGAGTTTCTAGTTGAATACTAGAGCGCCCCCCCCCGGTGACATGCCTGGCGCAATGATGTCACTTCTGGGTGATGTCATCACAGCGTGTGAAGATCCTGGACCAGGAGCTTCTCCCCCCTGCCACCAGAGAAAGGTAGGGACCTGGCAACCCTAGGTATTTCCCAACCCAGAGCTGGCAACCCTAAGCACAGGGGGGAATAGGTCTGCAACAGGTTCTGGCTGGACTAGAAGAAAGCACTTCTGTGCACAATACATCATGAACTAATGGAGTGCGCTGCCACAGGAAGGCCATTAGCTTTGATGGGTTTAGGGTTTCTCAATGGCTGCCAGCCGTGATCGCTAAATGGAACCTCCGTGACCACCGCCAGAGGCCGGGGAAGAGCAACAGGGCACTGGGACTGCTTCTGCTGGGGGTTTCTCAGCTGCAGGAAGAACAAGAAGCTCCCTCGTTTAAATGGAACTCCCACGTGACATCATGCTTAGTCTATGGGCTTCCCCGTTTAAACCAGATCAAAAATAAACCCAGTTGGAAGGGGGAAATGCAGAGCGGCTGCGAGTGGAGCATCAGTTTGTAGGCTCCATGTGCGGTCATGATGACAAGCTTTCAAAATGGCAGTGGCAAGGCAGCTTGCTGGAGTCTACCTCCACCAGCCAGGGTTGCCAAGTGGATTTTCGCCGAGAGCAGGGGGCTCCCGGCCGGCGTCTGTTGCGCGCATGCGCCGCATGCAGAAGTGACGTGATGATGCCAGGCACGCTGGGGGCGGGGCCACAGCCATACGAGGGAAAACCAAAGTTGTGAATTAGGGTTGCCAACTCCAGTTTAGGGAATTCCTGGAGATTGAGGAGTGGAGCCTGATGAGGGTGGGGTTTGGGGAGGGGAGGGACCTCAGTGGGATATAGTGCCAAAGAGCAGCCATTTTCTCCAGGAGAAGTGATCTCTGTAACCTGGAGACCAGTTGCAATCCCGGGAGGTCTCCATCTACCACCTGAAGACTGCCAGCCTACCCTACTATAAGCGCCGCCATGGCCATCTTAGTACATCACACCTACCATCACCCCTTCGTAGCCCTTTAAAGTGCTGCTGGGCTGAGAAAGGGGAGCTGAGGGGAAAGGGGGGCTTTCTGGGCTGCAGGAACTAGCACAGTCACTGTCACACTGAGCTGCACTTTTGCAAATGCACAACGGGGCAAAGGAGAGGAGTAGGAGTATGTACAGACCCTGTTCTCGTCTGTTACCACGCCCCACTGGCTTACGATGCTGGAGCAGGGGCATATTTCCACCACCACCACCACCACCCCGCATGTAGATTCAGCCTCACTTTGCTTACCAATTTCTACTCAGCCAGCTCATTTTTTAGGACAAGCTGCATTCCTTTCCCTTTCATTTTCCAGACTCTTCTCTGTTGCTTTTGCTTATTTCAAGAGAAATGCATGCAATTGGAGCTTTTTTCCTGGTTTGGAGTTTGAAGGAAGTATGTTAGGAACTTCTTGCTGCCTACCCAGGTGTCCTCGTTACCTGTAGGTGCCCAGGCCTGCCTTTCGCTCCTCCTGTTTTCCCACCTCACACATCAAACCACGGCAAACCCACAGGACCAAGAGAGAGAATGACAATCAGGACGAAAGCCATCATTTGGCACTTACCTATTACATACTCGATCCAGAACTGGTGCTCTTTTGGATTGTACGGACGGTTGAAATCAATCCGGATATGGAAAGGCTGCCCCCGGCGTACAATCAGTTTTAAGTTGTAGTATTTCTCGGTGTGGTGTTCCTGTTTATTAAGTTCATATTCCCGGTTGAATAAATAGACTTCCTGGACGTCCAGAAAATCTACAAAGAGATGGAAACAGTTCTATTTTTAGTCACCTTCTCACAATTAATGACTTTGTTTCAATTTATCACTAATTCCCTCTAAAGTCTTTCAGGTTCCACGCAGAGATGAGTCAAAGTGGGAGAAGGGAAGAGGCTTTTTGTTCTTTTTGCTTACTCCCCATCTCTCCTACGGGGGCGGGGGGTGGAACTGTCTAAAAAAGCACAAATGGCTTCCCAGGAGGACTCTGCCCAATGCAAAGATGATGATTTCCTCTCTAGGAAACAATTCTGGATGACAGTCCCTTGCAATGTATATTTTGCACGAAAGCCAGTCGAATCAAACTCTAGGGGGCGGTGCTCATCTTTGTTCCCAAGCTGAAGAGCCAGCGCTGTCTGAAGACGTTTCCGTGGTCATGTGGTCAGCATGACTAAATGCCGAAGCACACAGAATGCTGTTACCTTCCCACCAAAGTGGTACCTATTTATCTACTTGCAATTTCTTGCTTTCGGACTGCTAGGTTGGCAGGAGCTGGGGCCAGAGATGGGAGCTCACTCCGTCATAAGGCACTAGGGTCTCGAACTGCCGAGCTACAGACCTTCCGGTCTGCAGTTTCAGCGTCTTAACCTCTGAGCCACGAGCACAAATGAGGACTTCCAAAGGACTATGGGAAAATATAGCACATGGGGCGAGTCATGCACACTGTCTCTTAGTCTAATCTACCTCAAAAGTTTGTTATTTTGAGGATAAGATAGAGGAAATGAAGTTGTAAGCTGCTTTGGGTCTTCACTGGGGAGGAAAGCAGGATATAACACTACAAAGAAATCCAAATAAATGAAATCAGCCCTAGGGGAACCCATTATTTCATGAATCTGCCCGTCCACATGTAAAAAGGGGGATGTATGCCACTAAACAGCAGCCATGAAATTAAAAGACGCCTGCTCCTTGGGAGGAAGGCGATGGTGAACCTAAACAGCATGATAAAAAGTAGAGACATCACCCTGCCAACAAAAGTCCGCATGGTCAAAGCAATGGTATTCCCAGTAGTCATGTATGGCTGCGAGAGTTGGACTATAAGGAAGGCCGAGCGCCAAAGAATAGATTCTTTTGAACTATGGTGCTGGAGAAGACTCTTGAGAGTCCCTTGGACTGCAAGAAGAACAAATCAGTCAATCCTAAAAGAAACCAACCCTGACTGTTCCCTGGAAGGCCAGATAATGAAACTGAAGCTCAAATACTCTGGCCACCAAATGAGAAGGGAGCACTCCCTGGAGAAGACCCAGATGCTGGGAAAGATTGAAGGTCAAAGAAGACGGGGACGGCAAAGGATGAGATGGTTAGACAGTGTCATCGACGCAACGAACATGAAACTGAGCAAACTTTAGAGGACGGCGGAAGACAGGAAGGCCTGGCGTGATCTGGTCCATGGGGTCGCGAAGAGTCGGACTCGACTGTGCGACTGAACAACAACAAAAATGCCACTAAACATTTTCTACAGGCAACAAGAGTGCATAGGTTTGGTTCATTTTTATAACAACACAGCATGCAGGCTAAGGGAGGTAAAATTAGGGTTGCCAACCTCCAGGTGGTTGCTGGAGATATCCCACTATTACACCTGGAGAAAATGGCTGCTTTGGAGAGTGGGCTCTGTGGCATTATACTTGGGTTACCAGATGTCCTCTTTTTTTGGTGTCCATCTTCTTTTGGGTTCTTTTAAAAAAACTAATAAAAATGTCCCCTTTTGGGGCTGGAAGCGTAGAAGTATTCCCAGTTAGTAGCAATTATCACAGCTTAAATAGTAGGGGTATTTCAAATGAGATTTGTCATAGTGATCACTTGTCTGAAGAAGTCAGTCGGGGAATCTGTCCTCTTTTTTGCTTTTCATTATACCTTGCAGAGTTCCCTCCCCACCGGAAACCCAACCCTCCTCAAGCTTTCCCCCCAAAATCTCCAGATTTTTCCTAACCCAGAGCTGATAACCCTAGGTAGAACCTATGTCCTAGGACACCTAATTTCACTGTGTGAAGCATTCCCCCAAGGAAGCCCGCAGACACCAGAGAGTTAGGTTAGGCAGGGGGTGGAAGAAAATGCAATGATGAAGCTAGCATGGGTTTCATGTGCATTCCCAGGGTTTAGCATTTCCCCCTCCTCCAAGCATTTCTGTTTAAAGTAAGCTCTGAATCCCGTCCACCCAAGCCCAGTGAATAATATGAGACTTACTTAGGTCTGTTTAGGATTGCTTCCTCAACTGCCTATAATACGAGGATTACCCCCCCACACACACACACACATACTTCTGCATTTTGGCAGGGAGACTGAAAGCTGTACTTTAGAATTTCATCCCATGTGGTTTCCTTGGCTCATGTTTCTTCTATTGAAATTTGGGAGTGAGGCTTCCTTGGGGGAGTGGTACGATCCCAGAGCATTTCAACCCGAACGGGGAAAATCGGGGTGGGAACCAATACAAGGGGGGGGGGGAATGGGAGAGGGAGAGCGGCACAGCTGCTTGTGGGAAATCAGTCCAAGAGTCCAGTAGCACCTTAAAGACTAACAAAATTTGTGGCAGGGTGGGAGCTTCCATGAGTGAGCAGTGATTCACAAAAGTTCATACACTGCCACAAATTTTGTTAGTCTTTAAGGTGCTACTACTGTCTTTCTGCCTGAAATCTGTTAACTTACTTTTAAGTCACTCAGTGTTTTATGTTTTTATGCTCTGGCTGGGTTTTTAATGTTGGGTTTTAATTTACAACTTCATAAGCCACCTCAAGCACATTCCCTAGAGAGGTAGCATAGAAATTTCCTAAATAAATAAATAATACACCACCAAATGGCAACCACTAGCAAATGGAATAATGCCCTTGAGGACACGGAGGGCGTTCCAACACAGAAGAAGAAGAGGAGGACGAGGAGATTGGATTTATACCCCGCCCTTCACTACCCGAAGGAGTCTCAGAGCGGCTTACAATCTCCTTTCCCTTCCCCACAACAGACACCCTATGAGGTAGGAGGGCTGAAAGAGCTCTATCAAGGACTGCTCTTGAAAGAACAGCTCTGAGAGAACTTGTAACTGAACCAAGGTCACACCAGCAGCTGCATGTAGAGGAGTGGGGAATCAAACCCAGATTAGAGTCCGTGATCCTAACCACTACACCAAACTAGCTCTCATTTCCCCTTTTCACTGCAGCCCACAATGCCTCCCTCCATGAAATGCTATTGAAGAGGGTCAGGGGACCCCCAGGAAAACACAGAGAGTTAGAGGTCTTCAGCAGTGAGAGGGCATTGATTAAAACCATGACCCTCTTTCATCAGCATAATTTTCCTGCTAGATCCTAACCAATACCTCAGGGGTCCTGACCATGGTGTTCATGGGTGCCATGATGCCAGCCAACACCTTTTCTGGCACCCGACAAGTGTTTTTAGGAAGTTGGTGGAGCCAGGTAGGGCTTTTGCCCAGCAAGGCTTCTGATTGATTCTTGGAGATTTGATTGACTGGCCAGATTTTTTTTAAATGTTGGCTTGCAATACAGCATGAAAGAATCCGAACAGAATGAGCTCAAGGCAGATCGGAAGTGTCTCTGCACCTCCTTATTAAACGCTGGGGAGGGAGGTCCCTTTGCTTAGCTTAACATTCAGAAACAGAACTCAATAGACTGCATTGCCCTGTTTGTCACAATCTTCCAAATCCCTCTCCCAAAGGACATTACATCCATGCCTGCGGTTTGGAAGGGCGTCTCTTTGCTTTTCTCTTTGGAGCCATCTCTAAGGGTGCTTAAAACATGATGTATGTCGGCAGCTGTTGGATGTCTGTTTTTAATAACATGGCATCAACAATCAACAACACATTTGCTGTTCTGTTTTGCTTTATTATCTTGGCTCTTGACCCTATTGCTCACTGAAGTGGCCTTAGGATCAGGTTCTTAATGGAGAATTAGCCATCCTTAAGAGCATAAAAGTTTGACTTTTGAAAAGAAGAGAATTGGCTTTTGCCAACTTTAATTTAGACGAGGATTCTATATATCCATTCAAGTCATATGATCTTTAACACAAAATCTGGCAGTTGATATGAAATCCTTTCATCCTAAACACACACAAACACCCAGCAAACCTTTGTGATGGTGAGGTACATGAACAGTTTTAGAAGTACCCCCAGCGTACCCTCAGGAACCAGGAATTCGGATAAGGTTATGATTGTGAGTGGTAGGAACGTCTCCATTCTACACTATTTGTTTCATTTTGCACAGGGCCAGGCCATTTGTTTTGCATGCGTGTCCCGTCTCTGGCCCCAGCTCCTGCCAACCTAGAAGTTCGAAAGCAAGAAATTGCAAGTAGATAAATAGGTACTGCTTCGGTGGGAAGGTAACAGCGTTCTGTGCACCTGTCTTGAGACAGCACTGGCTCTTCGGCTTGGAAACGGAGATGAGCACCGCCCCCTAAAATCAGATACGACTGGTTTTAGAACAAGGGAAACCTTTACCTTTTTTTTGGTTGAATATAGATAATATTTGTTCTAATGACAGTGTTTTGAGTTTTCAGAGCTTGGGAACTGTCACTTTGGAATTCCCTTGTTGTCATACTCTATTTACATTCTTCCCCCAGCGCTTCTTGATCATGTTCAGTGACTCTTGCTTTTCTAGTCCTTGCCCCTGTTTAAAAACTCAGTGACACAAATTAATCCGTTGCATTTATAACACTTCAGGTCTGATCCTCAGCACCTTCAATTAAGAAATCTCAGGTAGAAAAATCAGGAAAACGGCTTCTCCTGATCCAATATAATTAATGCCAGTGAAGATAAAAAGGACCATTTTTATGTGGGCAACTTCATTCTGTATACAAACGCTCCTTGTTCCTTTACCTGCTAGAGGCAGCTTTCCACACAAAAAAACCCCAGGTATAATGTAAATACATTTAGTGGGTGGAACTACTAAAGTGAAGAAGGGAACCTAGTAAATATACCAGCAGATCGGGCAATTATACTGTCACAGTGCTTATTAGATGCAGCCTTCCTCGGTGCAAGTCATTT